GGTTTTCATTTGAAAAAAAGATATTTATATCACCATAGAATTCTTTTTAATTGGTATAAAAAGAATTCAAGAATTTGAAAAAATTGCAATATTAAGTATCTACATTAAGAATTTCCAAGAGTTGAGAATTTGAATAAATGCATTACTAAAGAAAAGCATTCTTGGTGAAACACATTGTAAAATGTATACACATGTAAATTTCATAGATTATATTAATTTAAATGAAATGTTAAAGCCATGCATATTCAAATTATGTATTTACAACTTAATGGTCGTAATAACTGGTTTAATTTTTTTTTCAATTAAATAGATTAAAATTATTCATCAAACATAATAAACAAAATCGATATCTAACTATATTTTAAAGCATGAAATAATGTATTTTAATAATTATAATTTTAAAGAAATATTCTGTTTAAATATAAATGTTTCTCTTTCAAACCTAATAATAACTCAATGGTTTAACTTAATCACCATCGAATAATTAAGTAGGTTCAATATTTATTTAATAATGAATGATATGACCAACATAAATAATTTATTTACCATCAATTATAATAATTATTAATTAATATTACTCATTAATGAATTGTCATAACTTATAAGTTTTAATGACTTTTTAGACTAACAGAAGTATTAACTTAGAATTGCAATGCGGAGTGCATATATAAAAAAAAGTTTACTTTGAGTAGCATAAGATGTATTCAGAAGAGGTTTTGGAAAATACAACATTACAGGCCTGTATAATGTATATTATAGGTACCTCGTAGCATCACATTATCAATTATGTTACATCTTATGAATTTTCAAGCTATTATATTGAATATTATACTATGTACTTATCAAGAACTACCTTTTATAAGTTCTGAATTTCAAACTAATGTAAAAAACATTTTATTTTCCATCTTACGGTTTCAATAATATGCTCTGTGTACTGAATTCCGTTCCATGGTTATTTATTTTTTTACGACCAAATGATCAATAGAAATATACGATGGCCAATAAACGGTTTTGGACCATTTGCCAAAAACCCCTATAGGCGATTCGGCCCTCCTCGCTCTTGCACGCAACGACATTATTAGGCTCCTACCAGGTGTAGATTATTACCCGCTGCGAATATTGGAACTCATTATCGTTAAAAGCCCACCGTACTTTTTTTTGTTTATTTCACACTCGGGTCTCAAAATCATTGTTATTTTGTTTTCAAAAACACATTCCAAACCTTAATCGTTTGAGCTTCATAACGCCGTTATAACTTTGTTCGGAAACACATAAACATAGTGCGCACCATATACATGTACCCGTGTTTACGTATAACAATCATTATTGTTATTGTTATTAATTTTTAATTCTGTCATAATTCCATTTAATTCAAGATTGCCTATTTATAGAAATAAACTATATAATATGTAAACGTGCCCGCCGCAGTTGTTGTTCAATAATATTCTTATATTCTAATAATATTCTTGCATGATAATATTAATGAGGTAAGAAATTATTACGAGAAATTAATACTGTTAATAATACAAATTAGTGATAATTTAGTAGTACACAATACACATACTATCATATTATTGTTATTAAATTAAATTTATAAATATTCACACGAAATTATCAAAAGAATGAAATCGTAGTATCAAATATTTAAATGATTTGATAAAGTAAGTAAGATTTTATTTATTAACAATACAAATATGCTTGTTATAATTAATAAATTATTTTAAGATTGGAGATGTACAAATTTTAATTGTAACTTGGGTTAAAATGGTATAAAATGTTTTATATCAAACACATTAAATTCGCATATATTAGCTTCATACTTGAACTCAAGTTATAATACGCTAAAACTTTCATTTTTTATGACTTTTATTATTACCTTCAAATCCATATACTTTTAAAGTAATAATGCCAATAAAAATGAAAAATAGTTTAAATATGAAGATTTATTGAATTAACTTTTAAATAAAACTGTATTTTTATACAACACATTTCAGTAGGTACTTAGTTCTGAGTATTAAACCATTTTTAATTTTTTTTTTTTTTGAACTCCGTATTTTGGTTAAATATTTCGCTTATGATAATTTTCAAGTCTCCCTCCTGTTATAATAATATCTGACAACCACTGGTAGTTCTAAATACAGACATACAAAATATTATTTAATTATTATTTCACTTAACACTACAATCAATTTAAATCTTACGAGGTATAACTTACCAAAAAATAGTGAAAACGTGTCAAAATTTGTGTAATTTTATTCAATTACTTTAATAATAATATTATTTATCCTTGATTATCAGATATAATAATGCCAACAAAAATCCAACAAATTTTTCGGTGGGGAAAAAAAGGCCAAGTTGACCGACAACATGAAGTTACTTACTCAATAATGCATTTGTTAACTATTAAAGATGATTATTACAAGGGTAGAAAATGGTGAGGTTAATTCATCTGAAATATAATATTTAAATTTTCCAGGCAAATAATATTACAGTATTAAGAACTTGATGTTATTTTCAGGTTAATCTTTTTTTTACACATAATGAAGTAGACGTTTCGATGATCTATTTTTTCTCCAAATACACAGTTGCCTCGTTGAATAACAATAATCGTTGATAAACTAACTACGTATGCCGATGCATATTATAGTTATTGTATAGTTCATATTATTATCTTATATATAAGGTTATATATAAGTTATATTACGTGCAACAGCGTATGAATGCAAGGTTTTGGAAAACAAAAGACCGACTCACGAGTAATTACGCCAACACTATTGGACCACCACCGACGTTTCACTCACAACACCATGATCCATTGTGAATACCCGGACAGTAGTGGTAAACCTACGAAATAGTCGGCGATTCGAGGATTATATTTTATCATCTTTTTGCTCCTACAATTTGGAACGTTTTATCTATCTTAACACCGTGTTTTTATATTATATCGTAATTATTAATTTATATTTTTTTTATGAAAATTTAATCTGACTGCACAATATTGATTCTGATAATTGGATACATATTTGAAAATATAAATATGTTCTGTGGTTCATAAAGAGATGAACTGCGTATACAAAACAACGAAATGTACAAGGTGTAAATGGTCAAACTCTGTTTCCAGATATATATTATTACACTGTCACGGCGTCGCAGTTATTTTTTTTTTACTTACCTCGTGCTCCACGAGTTTGGCGATGGATCAAGAGAAAAACAGTCGTTTTTTTTACAGAAACGAAATGTAATTAATTTTAAGGTAATCACGCTATTGACATAAGACATAAATAAAATACGGGTTAACCCGTAAACCAACCAGGTCTAGGGGAAAAAAAAACGTCCACCAAAGTGTATAGGACCTATTAAAACTTGTATCATAGCTTTATGGTAAATAAAAACAACTTCGGGCGAGACAAATCACACTGACGTCGCATATATCACCTACTGGTATACCTATATATAAACATGTTTTGTTTGCGTTTAACGAGCCATTTCCTGGCGTATTGCGTCAGGAATGTGTTAATAAAATACAACGTTAGTCATGAGATTTGGGTGTAAGTGTATGTTATAATAATTGTAGGTTATTGCATGACGAAGTTAACTCACTATTGACGCTCACAACACCTCCACTTCCGGAAACATATTGTATAAAACATCTTGTACCCGCGTGTGGTATACACTTATGTATATACTGCAGTATAGTTCTAACTTTCTAAACCGTATTTTGTAATAGTATAACATGAATTTAACGTCCCAAATATTTTAATACGTTTCATCTATTTGTGTTTGTCGATGTTTCAGAATCCCGCATACACTATAAAGGTATAATTTTGTTTCCACAACAGCATTTCGCGCCAATCTCATTACACAGCGGTAATAAAATTAAAATAAAAACGCTCCAGCTTTACCGTATCCATTTTATGGCAATTAATATATTACAGAGTTCATCAAGATTAACTGAAAAATTGAATGTGAACTGTTTCATAGTTATTTTCATTTTTATAATTGTAATAATATTTAATTTGTTTTTTTTTTAGTTGTGTAATAAGAGAATAAATAAAGACTATTATGCATAGAATAATTATTGCATATCTTAGGTCCACAATAATTGTTGCTTACTTGCATATTATTTTAGTTGATTAGATCAATTACTAGTTATTTTGGATGCACTCTGAATTTCTTATACTATAAAAACGATATTGTACTCGTTATACTAATGATACTATAGTATTATGTACCTTATTTCGCTTGGGTATACACGTGTAGTTCACATACCAATACTCCCGGGTGTTAATTATTATTGGCATATTATTATAAAAGTTTTTAATTTAGTATAATAGTTTTAGTGTCGTATTTATAGCATAATGTGTATTATGATGATGGTACTGTAACCGCAAAACACTATTAATTAATATTATGCAATAATGATCCCGGATATTTTAATATAGAAAACACAGTGTAGAAATGATAATAAAAATCAATTACCCGGGTTGGTTATAATATTATGCTAATACATATTGTGGATATCAACAATAGAAAGGGTCGACGTAAGTTATATGTGGGGCATAACTGTATTATATTATTATTATTATATTATTTTATCATAAAACATGCAGCGCTTTTAAATTGTTATTTAATCAGACGGCACAATATTATGAATTACGTGCCAAAGTGAAAATATGAACCCGACTTCAGAAATTCGTCCACAAACGATGTATGAATCATACAAAGCAAAGAAAAAATTATACAATTAGTTTGTGTTTTAACAACTCAAACAAAATTCGTTTTGTTTTCGAAGGCCATCAAATTCATTTCAAATAATAAAATTATTTTTCAAATTATATTGCACAACAAACTCTCAACTCACTAACTATTACTTCATTTTCTCCTCTCAGTAATTTATTTTATAAAATACGTTTAAATCTTACGTAAAACAATATGGTAATTTCTATAACACAATTTCGTTGTTAAATAAAATATAATATCTAGTTTATTGTTGAACTTACTGTGCACTCGTACTGAACTATTCGCGCTTCCCATAGAATTCGACGCAAAACATATGTATGTTCCCAGATCATTTTTATCCAAATTCTGAATATTGAGATACATATTTACTTTGTAGTTAGTTTTAACTTCTTCTACGTAGTACTTTGCCCTAGAACATAATATACAAATAACAATACAATTAATAATGCATCGATGTAAAATACGATTAATTAATTTGTCTGGTGTTTAAAAAAAAAAAAATATGTAAAAATGGAGAAGTTACTATGTAGCTGAATCACAAAATAATTTTTTGATGGATACTCTAAGTTATGTCAAGTAAAGAAGTATTGGTTAGATCATGTTACTGGAGTATAATAGTAAGCCGATACACACTTATATAAACAACATCTGTCACCGTTTTTTTATAACATTTTGAATAATTTGAAATATTTTAGCTAACTAATCAGAAAAAGATATTATAAAGTAAAATTAAGTTTCATATTATATTTTATGATTGTTTATGACAATATTACTTAATGATAAATATAACGATTTTTGTTAAGTTATTAATAACAAAAACTCTATTGTTTTAATATATATATTTAGGTGAACATTTAATTTAATTTGTAAACATATCCATTAATTATACACATAACAAGATCAGTTACATGTATATATTTTATTCATTAATCAATATACAGAAACATTCACAAATCACGATTGATCAGACCAATGCTCATGAGCTATCGTAATACCATGGGATCTGTTAAAATACTAAAATAGTAACATAGCGTTTTTTTATTGTATACAAAATATAAATAATACACCATCATAACTAAGTTGTATGTTTTTCTAAATTACAAATTGGAACTAAAAATATTATAGGTAATTTTTAAAGTCTATACGTTTATATTTCAAGTAGCCGTGGACAACTTATAGTAAGTTAATCAACCATTGGATTAAACATTAAACAATAAATATTTGGTCCTGAAAAATACTAATTTTGACATCAAAATCGATACACATTATATGATAAAATTAATTAGTAATATTAATATTTTATATCTATGAAAACGAATATAGAATTTTAAAATATTCACTTAAATTCTCTATCAATAATATTTTGTAAACACCTTTTTACTTTCATTTTATATTTTCATATTATTACAAATAACATTTTATTTGAAGTAATTTCACAAATTAAAGAAGAGGATGTTTTATTTATTAAGTTGAAAACACCTTTGATGTTTATAAATGTAACAAAGGATTTTTTTTTAATATTGCTTCCTGTATTATATTACTCATAGAATAACATTTACTTTAAACATGTTCCAAAATAATATTTTTATGTAAAACATATATTTATATTTTGTGGCCTTCATTAATATAATAATGGTTACTGACATCACTCGGAATAAAACTAGTAGTTGTTAAGGTTAATATAAAATATACATATTATGTTCATTTTATTTAGTGAAATATGCAAACAACATTGAAACAGTGTTAATAAAAATAAAAGAAGTTAATAAGTGGCTTTAAAAAGTATAACGGTTGAACAAAATACAATTCATTTCTTTATATTATTCTTATACCTACAAAGATAGGCACTTAAAAGAAAATAGCAAAAACAGTTTTAATATCTTAAAAGGTTGTTTTCTTGCTTTAAAGTATAATAGGAATCCTTATATTATAATAATACAATAATGGTTGGAAATTTTTTTTTAACATTTTTACATTTGAAAAAATGAAAATGGAATTACTTTTGGTGCTTTATAAATAAAAAGTTTGTACTTCCAGAATAATTTTATCACAAAAAACTTCAATTATTTATTTTCCGTCTAATTTATCTATTTTGTTTCGTAGATAATATTTTAATGAGATTCTATGACCCTGAAATACCATTATATTCATATTATATTGTATTTAAATTATTACCACAAATCATATGAAACAATTGTCAAAATCCATTTCTTAAATTAAAATAAATATACAATACCTTTGTTTAATGGAGGATTTATTAGTAGTAGTATAAATAAAACTCAAAAAATAAAGAGTCTGTTAAAAAAAACTATGTTTTTGTTTTGTTTGAATAAAAAAATACTAATTTAAGTCTGATTCTAACATACAAATAAACATGCAATTATTAAAACAAAATAAAGATAAAATTCATATAATATTGTTAATTAAATATTTTATTTTATTGGACTTTTAAAACCTAAATATTCATAATTCATTATTCATTACTCATTACCTAACTAGATAAACCATATTTGTATTTAAAAACCAATGATTAATATTAACAAAGACGAAAAAACAATTATTGGTTCAAAAAATAGAAAATGAGTTTCGATAAATATTTTTACATTATTTTATACCATACATATTTGATTATTTTTTTAAAAAATTGGTATTCATATACATTTAAGATGATTTGAGTTCTGTGATAATGAAATTATAAAATCCATTTTAAGTAATTGATTTAGAATAAAGAAAACTTTATTTTTTTTAAAAAATAATTGATTGTATCTTTCAAATTAACTCAAAGACATAAAAAACGTTCTCAAGTTACTTCTTAGTTACTTCTTAGTTATTTTTCTATAATATAATAGATGGAGAGATAAAATAAATGATTCATATTATTAAATTATAGGTTACATATCTCAAACAATAAATTTAAAAAAATGTTGAAGATTGGCTGGTGTTCTAATTATCACTTTTGATATGGGTATATATATATATGTGCATATATTCTATCATTAAAATAATATTTTTTATTTTGCATAGAAAACAAAATACAAAAAAAACCATAATTTAAACCACCAGTACTACTTATAACACAGAATTAAATTTTTAAATTTTATTTTTATACAATATGTTATCAACAAAGTTAACTCCAGAAATTCATGAACATATTAATTTACTGTAAGTACCTATGTATACTGTACATAATTTATTTTCAGTGATTTCGGGTGATTTTTTGTAAGACTAACAGTAAAACAATGTATTGTAAATCCAACAATTCTTCGTGAATGAGAATTCTTTAAAATTTAACCAAACTGCATGTAATGTTTAATCAAATTTATTAATCGTTTTGCTCTAAAATAGGCATCTATCAACCAAATTTGTTATCAAATATTTATATTCATATCATTATTTTATATAAATTAATGCTTTAATATTTACTTAGGTATATTCCAGTATAACTCCTTTTGAGTCATGATCATGAATTATTTGGTTATTGAAGAGTTTATGCTACATAGTAATTCGACAGCCAAAGTAATAATATTTTTTCTTTATTTAAGTAATTTCGATCATTGCCTACACATATGATATATTTACGTTGTGACCATATCGTAATGGTATAATACTATTATTGACAAACAAATCTGTTACAATATATAATAATAATAATTAGAATATTAACATATAACAATTATTTTTTATTTTTTTCATAATGTACCTACAAATACACGATGCAGTAAAATAAAATTATCTGTGATGTTTGATATAATGACGTATTGTTTTTCAGCAGATCAAAAATACAATAAACGATTTTTTAATATTTATTCGTATATGAATGAAAGTTTAAAATGAAGATTATTGTGTCTTAATATCATAGTAGTGGTACTCTGCGCAGGTATATCAGCTTCTGAAATTTTTAGGGTATTGCGTGGATCTGTGAACGATGTAGGTGCCTCTGGTGCCTACTCAGGATCTGGGTGGAGTGGTGGTCTTCGTGACCAAGTAGGATTCAAAACCATCGTAATATACGGGAAACCTTGATATTTTACACTATATAATAATATATAATATATATATATATATAGCTTTTGCCGAAAGGCGGGGGCCGTACATCATATATAAAACAATCGTTTAACAGACGATTTCCAAACCTCTCCAACCCCCACGTCGTACGCGCTGGAGCTATCACGCGACAATATAACAATAATAAAATTATTTATATATATAAACTCGATAATGTATGATACGCACGGGTGTTTGTGCGTGTGCATGTGTGGCCGCCGACGCACATTATATATCATATATTATTATTATTATTATTATTATTATTATTATTATTATTACTATACGGACCGCGATCATAATGGGGGGCCGTAACGACATGTGGCGAAAATAGAATAAAAAATGTAAAAAGTGCGGCGGCTAACTGCATCGCGGAAGAAGAATGATGACGGTCGACCGGCGGCGGCGCGACTCGCGTTAAAACGGTTTCACGCGTCCGCAATTCACGCCCACGCACCGGCAGACACATAGGCGCTCACGCACGATATATATATATATAATATAAATACAAATAACAATAATAACATACGTCGCCGATATAATATATTATTATGTATATACATTGTGTACGCTGAGCATTCGGGGGAGACAGCGGCGGCGCGTGGTTAATGGCGTGAAAATATGTGTGCGTGAGCGCGACTGCCGGCTAGCGGGCCGCCCGCCCCCGCACTGTTAGGTCGCGTGTTTTATTGTTGTGTCGGACGCGCGACCGAAATTTCCGGAAAATCGCACACGATATATATTCGATGCCGGCTTTTAATTACGTCGCAACAAAACGAGGCGATTATTCATCAAACGGTCGTTGTCGTCTCTCGACCCCCTCCTCTCCCGCCCCCCCTTTAATCCGCGAAACACCATACTCGGCCGTTTTATACGGGGCGATTCACCGCCGTGTTCGCCCTGCTTTGATGACGGATCCAAAATTAAAACTATCATTTTTAAGACACGTATCTACCTATGAGGACCATATTATTATCTTTTCTTATACCCACTTAGCTTTTATAAATCATCAATCGAGGCGTGTCATTTGTATTTAAGCACTAATTTCCCGTGTACCGTCGATCAGATGAATTATTCGATCCGAAATGTTGCCGTATATTTAACTGAAAGTGAAACGATTAGTTTTTAAGTAGAGAAAAAAATTGAAAACACGACTCATAGTTTAATTATAAAAATCAGAATTCTAACACAATTGTTATGAAAAGAAAAATTGGTAGTGACCATCCCTACCTCTCCACAAACCACCTATAGTATACCACTAACGCCATAGTAATAATATAAGAATATAACGTTCGTTTGATTGTTGTTTCCTCTCATTCTAGCTATTCACAATAGTCAAACTTGAATGTCGTTTTTTTTCTATTTATTGTTATTAATACTACAGTACGTATATTATCAGAATACACTATGTCATTGGTGTGGAGTTTTTAATTTATCAGATAATGTATTATATAATATAATAGAATTTGCGTTATCACAGCACCATATACATATACAATATATTTTTTTCCAGTCTTCCGTTCTAAAATACAGGTGGACACGGTTCTCGTTAGAACATTATTATCGTCTCACCGAGTACCTACTGATTTAACATCTCCGTCAGACCGTCTAGTATTATTCGTTATACTGGAAGCGGATCCGTCCTTCACACGGTGACGCAAATTAACAAAAGTGGGCGAATATTTTAGGTACTGCACGTGAAAAAGTCACTGTAATAGATTATAGATGTGTTGAATTTGAATTCAATGATAAATCATCGCATACGAAAACCGATTCTGAGCGGAGACGGTCGTCAGCTTATATGTATGATATCACCAATCATTATATATTTTATAAATTATATTATATTTATATTAATTATTATCATAGTATTTTATATTACTACTTGTAAGTTGTTCCGTTTACCTACTTATAAGTTGACTCCCACTCCCCTCAAATAGCCAACATGATCCAATTTGCCATCAGAAACCACAGTGGCTAAACAAGATGAACATTTTAAGTGTTGTAACTGCTCAAGAAGACAACGATCGATACAAAAATACAAACGTTATAATTACAAGAACACACATCGTTGTAAAGTCAATACGTGGTTCATCGCCCTGCTCAGAATCTAAAACATTTTCTCAAAGGTATGACATATATATTATACACGGGCATTTCGTGTATTATACAATCTGTTCCTACTTCCTAAACATTTCACAAACAACCGTAGAAATGCGTAGCTCTACGAAATTATAATACATCCCGACTTTAAGTTGTCAATGATGGGTTCAAACGGCGTTTTCGCTATTGTTCGCTGATGGATTTCTCGCAAGTAATCTACGTAAGCTCACTTGTTTTGGCGCAGGACAATAAAACGCTTTTTCGTTTTAGACGTTTGATTGAAATATCGTAATTGTTATCGGTATTGTCTATACAATATTATTAATTCTATGGGTTGATCGATGAAACCCACTAGAGGTTCGCTACTAAAATGATTCGCGTGTTTGGATAATTTGGATTAGTGAGCTCTAGGTTCGCTAGGCGAACTACATACATTCAACATAGTCGTGGTGTACTTAAAGATGAACTCTCAGCTCTGATGGAAAAGTTATTGTACTCTAAACTATAATCTTTCGTTGTTCCAAGCAGTGACGACTGACGAACTTTTTCAGAACAGTCCATGTAAGCTATAAATAATTAGAAATTTTAATTTGATACTTTTCTGGTATTGTACACAGTATTATTAAGTCATTCAAAATCAAAATTGAATAACCCATGCCCTATATAAAACCCTGTATAATTAAACCCTCGTAATTTATTTGCTTATTTAGGTTTTGTAATGTATAAAAATATTTCATAACCATGAAATTTTAAAATAACATTTTCCTTCAGATTATGAAGTTAAAATAAATTTTGATGTACAAAAATAAAAATATAAGTAAAAAGTTAAATAATACTAAAAATAAAGTTTAGAATTAATACTTCTGTTTTATATTAGGTATGTATAAGAGTTTATTTATTCATTACTAGGAGAATTTCTCTGAAATATTCATTCTGTATCAAATTTCTCAACTTTTATTGTACACAACTGTATCTTGTCATCATATTTATGATCATATTATATAAGGGATAATAATATTATAAAATACCATTTTATGTAATTTTTGAGGTCCGTCAGCCTGGCACCCCGAATTCAAAATTTTTAATTCAAACCTTTATAGATAATTAGTACCTAATTTGTAACAATTTGTAACGCAAAAATCAGAATTTGTAACCCAAGTCTTACCCTCGAAAAAAGTGTTATTCTTTTCGGAGTGCTGGGCTGTCAGCCCAGTACCCCGAAATTCAAAAACGTCGATTTCAGGGGTTAATTTTGGGTTACAAATTAAGTACTAATTATCTAAAAAGGTTTGAGTTAAAAATGTTGAATTCGGGGTGCCAGGCTGACGGACCTTAATTTTTTATGTCTTTCAAAAAACGATCTAATTTAATAAACTAACTAACGCTTATGATTATATTCATGTTTAGTTATTTTTGCTTGCACAACATTAAAATGTATTATTATGGTCTTAATATTATATTGATCCGGTGACTATTTGCAAAAATTTTAAGTATTTACAACCTACATTGATTTTGGTTCTTCAGTAGTTTTGGATTCCTTTTAGTTTTTGAATTTAATTACGATATACAATTTGTCTTTTATGTCTCAATTATAGTGATAAAGTTTCTTACCATTAAGGAGAATATATTTTGTCTGTGAATTTTGATATATAAATTTATATATTCCAAGAACATTTTATTATTTATAATTCACGAGCATTTAAAGTTTAAGCGAAGTAGTACACCACAATTTCGAAGATTACATCGTGCTTATCCATTCCACTTTTATAAATATTTAACTATTTAAACCCGATAATTAATAAAAAATATCAGAGAAGAAATTAAAATTTTAGTTTACCATTATTATACAGGGTAATGCTCTCTATTCTAAAGTTGAAATTCTTCTATATGCCTAATAAAGTCGAAACAAAATGTAACTAGAATACAAACATTACTTGATTTTAGCTGCCACGTGAATATCATATTTACATTAGTTAAATTATTACACAATACCATATTATGATTTTGTTCAAAATTTAAAAATTATAATTGAACGTGATACAAAATTACGCTTATACGTATATCTGTTGTTCAACAAAATGTTAAATTATATTTTAATGAATTTTAAAAGTCTATCCAATTGATTGCCAAGCATATTTCTCCTATCATGGAATTGTTTCCATAACTCATGTAAAAAGAGTATATTAAATACTTGATAGATTGTTTGATAGAACTTAATTTTTAAATGAATACCTAATTCAAAAATGTTTTTAATAATACCATGAGTTCGGTTTATTTTTGTGATTATATAATACATTGACAGATATTGTATTGCGTTTTTCAATAAACAGATTTTTCTTTTGGATGATCGATGAGACGAAAAATTCTGATTGGATAACTAATTCCGCCTTTGCCTTTACCCCCAAATATGACCGTTGTAATTAATTGCATGGTAAGGAGCTCACGACGTGACTCGACTCAGCTATTGAACGACTAATAATAAACAACAAGAAAGAAATTTATACATTCCCACCCTGTGCGCTGTCATCTTCATCTTGTTAACAGATTATACGAGCAAACAGAGCATTTTCCATTTGCTCCAGGGTAGTTTTTTCCTTTTCACTATTTTTCTCAGTTTCAAAAACAAGTGTTAGTATAAAGAAATGAGCTCGGTTTAATTAAGACTGGGAATCGCGATTGTTTTTCAACCTTTTACCATCGGGTTTTTGATTAACGGTATTCCCATGGCATACATTTTTGTTTTCCAAATAGGTAGATAAATTATTATAAGCGCCAGGTTTTGACGCTAACACATATATTATAACAATGAATGGGATATAATAATTTCATCAGCTAGTTTGCGTACATATATACAATTCAATACCGCAATGAATTGTTTTGTTAGTTTGCAAGTACCTATTGTTGAATAACAATGACACACCTTTTTGTGTTTGCACATGAGCCCTTAAGAGACGCATAAAAAAATGAACACGTTTAGCTTTTTTTAAACTCAAGTAATAATGTCTAATAATTAACGCTGAAAGCGCCTTAATGAAAATTATAGATTTTATAGTTAATATTAACTTATATCACACACGCGCAATTTATCACATTTTAATTAAGTTAACGAAGTTTTCGTTTTAATATTAGGTTTCTATACGTCGTACGGAGATACCTTATATCAACTAACTATTCATTGCACTTAATTTTATACACTAAAAAACTATACATGGAACGGTTTTAACTTTTTAGTTTGTAATTTTATGGAGATAATAGTTTTACCAGTTATTTATAAGTTCAAATAACTTAACAATGAAACGTTCACGTTATCTTAGTAAATCAATATATTGTAATTCATATTATAATTCTTCAATTATAAATCAAATAAACATGTTAAATTATAAAAATAATAATTTTAACATTGTGGATATTATTTTCTAATAACTATGCAATATATTGTATATACCTATTGTATATAAAGAATTTTATATTTGACTGAATATTTAACTACAGTTTATTATACAATATATATATACTTATATTTAAGTCTTTATTGAAGCATCGTTATTAACTGATTTTTACTGTAGTGGAGGGGGGGGTGGAGGGCACGTGTAATATAGGGCGAGGTAAAACCTCGGGTGGTCATCCATCCGGGAACTAGCTATGACTGACGATGCTTGACCACCCATTAGAAACTGCTGCCGACCACCACACCATACCAGGCCCCTTTATTATATGTACTCATTTTTTTAGTATGAAATAGCATCGGGTTTAGACTGATTAGAGTAGTAGAATTTTAAGTAAGTAAATGTTAATGATTCAAGAATTTATATGTACTGTATGCATTTAGTACTTACCCTTGAGAAAGCATTTGTCCTTTTTCATCCGACCAATGATTGATAGAATTGGGAAACGATTCTACAGAACACTCCAGTCGTACATGTGTATGAAGTGGTGCACTAACAAACTGATTCGTCACCCGGACTACTGGAGGAACTGAAATGTGCACAAACAAAATAATATTGAATAATTAGCACTTAAAAAACATCAAAAATTATTACACTTGATTCAAGGACTGATTTATCATTACTACGTTCATCAGAGTTAGCTATAAAAGTGATTTTATATAGTATTTACTATACAATTGCATTATTTATATAAACATGATTAGTTATAGTTATAACTTATAACACTAAAACAATAATTTTAAACCTTTTTTTAATAATACTTTATTAGGATATTAATAAATCTATAAATATTTAAAATATTATTAGATACACAATAACAATAATGAACAATTTTTACTTTGAAACAGGATGCTTTATAAGTGATAAATAGAGTGAATATCATCGTAAACAAAGTAAACTTGGTATCCTGATATGGTCTTTTTGGGTTTAATTATTAGTTAAGTATAAGAATTAACACTGATAGGGGGGGGGGGCAAATTTTAAACAAATGTGGTTTTATTTGACATTTTTTCATTATTGCTTGCCAAAATATGTGATCTTATATCATTGTCTTAAAATGTATTGTTATATTACTAATAACGTAACACAAATAACCCAACGCGTGCAAACCAAATTCTTGTATTAGGTATTTTTTTATTTTATTTTAGCCACAAAATAAAACGCAGTAGTATCCAGTTACATAAATTCAGAATTTAAGACATTTATCAATACATCATTCTTATACATATCAGTATAATACTTAGAAGTAAGAATACAATTCAGATGTCTTGGGTGCAAATATATTCAACATCTCTATTTTAAAAGGAACTTTTTCAACAAAATATAAATGCATTCGTTTAGAGTGGAAAACTTATCGAAATGTTTGTATTCATAAATTAAAAAATAAAAAAAAACATCGAATCTACCCTCGATAATAATATTATGTAAAATATATTATATATTGATAGCAAAAAATTAAAAAAACAAGGTTTTAATTTAAAATAATTACAATATGAAAATTTATCGGTCTAAAAAAATATCAGTTTACGTTATCCAAGCAAACCAGTAAGTTCCATATTTGATGCAAACACGATGTATAATGTTTAATTATTAATAATGGGTGGATCTAATATTTAATTTGCATAAATAATTTACAATTTATTCATGTTCATATTACAATACATGTAACACCTGTCAGATGGTACACATTATATTACTTATTTTGAAGTTCATGAGTTGTAATAGGAACCATTGACCTGATATCATTAATTATCAACTATTGTTTTTATTAATACATCGCCCTTTACACAAATACTTGTTTACAAAACCAACCAAAGCTGCTCAAAACCATTTCTTCTGAACAGCTGTAATTATTAATATTAAACAAATAAAATGATTGAAAATAAATGTTTATTAGTAAATCTGAACGGAATTATTTCTAAGTATAGAATGACACGGTTCAACAATGTTTGTGCTCAACTTATTTGGATATCAAAAAGTTAACCTAACTTTCACTAACAGTACTCTACGCCATCCTAGTTCATTTGTTTATATTCTCTCGTTGTTTGAGTATACTATGTATTATAATATTTATTATTAAATTCGCAGTTATTGCCAATTGGGGAAAGTGCTCGAAAGCAGTTGAGCACCGTACTGTAAATAACCATTTGGTCAACAATAGGCTAATGAAATGTCACCAAGTGTGTTTGAACCCTGCAGGACGGTGGAAATATCGTGTAATCCAGTATTCAAATTATTTAATTAATTTTCTGATAACGATTTTGTGGTTTGCTGAAAAGGGATTTGATGTTGAGTGGATGCTGAATACTCACAGTTAACGTTTAACGTGATCCTCTTGCTAACAGCCGGTGGTACATCGTTGGATGCTATGCACAAATAATGTCCCATCTGACTGCGGTCTACTTTGTTGAGCAACAGCGGTTCTCCGCGTACCCTTTCCACTGGTCAACAAATAATAAACACCATGTGAAATTAATACAATATCGCTATAGGTATTTCGAATGATTACAATAATTATAATACAAATGAACCAAACACGTTCCAAAAGAACTTTAAACAATAGGAACAACTATTACTCATAAGACGTTAGGAAATAATTGTACACAAATATTATATAGAATAGTAGACAATTAAATTTTTTTTCCAAAAAGAGTGTTTTGTAACGACCTATTATGATGTAAAAGAAATATTTTCAAATACATTAGTGTTTTCTGATATAAATAAGACTTATCTTACTTTGAATGGTCACCTCATAGAAAATAATACAATCAAATATAAATATTGAGATGGAATGTCAAGTGATAACTTTACTATGTAACATGTATTTTTGATGTGACAAAAAATGATAGTATAAGTTGTCTTTATTCGCCGAAAATAATAGCAACCATCTGGCAGACATTTTCAGAGATATAAAAATATAAGTTACAATAAAATCAGAATTCAAACAGAACTAATTCAAATAAACAACAAAACAAATGGAATAAGAAAGGAATAAAATATTTTGTTTAGATACAAAACATAACACTGTAATTTTCCATCCCAAAACCTCACACATGTTTATATTTTAACTGACGTGGATTAAATACTGCCTATCCATCAAATAATTTCACAGACAACAGTAGTTAGAAATACAATATGGTTATTGACATAATTTATTTTGAATAAGTGTTGTAATACAATCGGTAAACAGTACGATCAGGATCAACGTCAAGTTCAATTAATATTTATTTACGAGCATACATCCGCAAAAAAAAAACATGTGAAAATATAAAGTGCACAAAATAATCGAAATTTAATGAAGGATCCTAATTGTATTATATTCTGATATACTTAGTGAGTATAATTCAGAATTTTAAATTTGGATGAAATTATATCTTTAATCAAGGGATAACAATTTGAATTATTTGGTTGTAATTCAAAAATATTACTCATGGTAACTTGTAACTTGTAGTATATTATTATAATATTTTTTTTTTAATACAATGGCACTATCAAAAAATTCAAATTAATTTAACCTATTGCCAAATTATACCACTTAGGTATCTACTTAGGTATTGACATTGACTTAAAAGTGAAAATATTGAATTATTAAATAATAAAATATTGATGATAAAATAAATGCAATATTTTTGTCAAAAATTAAATCTCCCTACCCGCCTTATTACAATAGCATTACAATAATGTACTATTATAGCAATATACATATATCACAAATATGCTTGGTTATATATAACAATACATTTATACATAAATATTATATACGTCACTATTACTGTGCAGAAATATTTACATATTTAAAAATAAATGCAATTGCATTAAATTATAACATTTGAAAATAATTTATTATTATGATATAAAATGTATTACATCACAAATATACCTAATACATTATATAAGTGGAATTGTAGGTTAGAACAGGCATCCTGTTATTATTTTTACCCGTTATAGACTAAAATAGTGAATATCAAATAAAAACTATATAAAGTATTCATAGGAAAATATAATTCAAAATATTTACCTGTGCACACTGCACATAATATATTATACTGAGAAATCCTGCGTTTGATATTTAAAATGAAATTTTGAAATCAGTTTAGTGTTAACATGTGTACATTTGTTTGATATGCTCATTCTCTTATCGTTGTTTGTCGGTGACGATGGACAATGGGTTAATTATATTCAATATGATCTATAATAGTCTCATCACATTGTAATAAAGGAAGATTGTTTGTGGAGCAGTGGAGCACATATCGTATTGCGGATCTTTGAACTTAATAGTTGAAAGATCTTTGGTATTATGTAATAGATCGTTAGTCGTTAAAAACGTTTCCCGAGCAAGTTGAACACTTCACCCCAATACATGCTTGAATACTACCAGAAAAACCACCTTCCAATCCAATAAAGATACAAATCAGGTATTACCTGCCTTTCATTTTCGTAATAGACAGCATATTAGAAACCCAATATTATGAAGCAGTAAGGAAAATAACTTGAACACACTTATTTTCCCTAAACACCTATGATTAACTCTGGTTAGTGTTCAAACAACACTGCAAAAATACTAGACAAAGGATTAATTCAAAAAACTGTCTGATCAGAATCATCATGAGGCGCCAACCCTTACACTCGAATTATTGCTATAAATTTACACATTTAGCAAAGTAGAAATATAAATACCAAATACAATCACAATACTGTCATGCTATTTGTATACTTCAAACTTCTATAATAATTTCTCGTTGCATCAGGTTTGGAGAAGATTATCTTTCGAACCTCTCTGCCAAATCAAAATGCAGCTTAACCAAGTTCACATTATGTGTGCGGGTGATCACACACCTAACTTTGTAGGTCTTCATGCTAAACATTTTTTTTGAGGCGACAAAAAATCAAACATTCATTCAGTTCTATCATTATTCCGGAACCAATATGTGTATCTAAATCAATCTGTATGCATCTTTGTTCCTTTCAACTTCAAAAAAATGTAACTACAATATAATTATAAAAATGAATCATCAATAACGAAATGTTATTCCAATCTTACTTCATTAATTAACCTCCCTCCTTACCCTTTCAGCTATAATACACAAACAACATATTCCATAGTCTAGAATTAATAATTATTAAACTATATTTTAGTATTTATGAATATAACGTCATTGTAATACTTAATTATTTTACCGTCCACCTTAAAAAAAATTCTAATTATATTATATTAATTATAACTCAAGGCTAATGTCATTTTATAGATTTCTTGGTACTTCCGTTACCCATGTCTGTAATCAGACAACATCATCATATATATTTATTATACTTCTTACTTTTTAGCACATACAATTATATTGTATTCCAAATAAAGAAATAAAGAACAAAAAACATTGTAGTAAAGATCCAAGTGCAATTTTTTAGTAGTAGCCAGTAGCTCATTAATGTATTAAATGTTATATTAAAATCACTGAGTTACGTAATGGCTCACATAATGTTTTTTTCGATTTGTTTCTTATAGTTATTTTTTCACCATCCTCTCGTTTCCAAGTTATTCTCGGTAGTGGATTGCCTTTGGCCTTGCACGCCAACGTAGCATTTTCACCTTCCTTTACAGTGACGTCAGATATGGTTTCTTCGTCTTTGATGTCCGGTGGAACTATAAGAAAAAAATTAATTGATTGTATAATTATTATTATGATTGAAAATGGACGTATTAATTACAAAAGCTAAATATTGGTATTCAAACAAAATGTCAACTTATAAAGAAATTACGGATACAAATATTTGGAATAATTGGGAAACAAATGGAAGCAATTTCAAAAGCGTTAAACACATAGTCTGAGACTCTCGGACTCTCGGCCTCTTGGCCAGAAACGAATTTCCAGTCTAGGTGTAAAATCTATGAAGAAGATAGTACTCATATCTCTAATAACACAAGTGTGCCAAATTCTGAATTGGCCAAAAGAGCTGTTGGTCGCAGTTATTTGTGCTATCCGTTGGCATAGCCCCACACGAAATTAAGTGAAAGTCTAAACTCTGTGTATATATAATGTATCAGTATAACATATTTTAAAGTAAATTTATGTTTAAGGAAATATGTATTTTAATGGCAAACTTTCGTAAAATCGACTAAAACCAATAAATATTATATAGATATAGAAATGTACATCATTGCGAATTCAACGATCACAATATATAAAAATAAATTCAGAACAAAAATGGATGTTTTCAAAATCCAATTGATATATTTGACTCCACCTCTCATAATCAATCTAAAATTAAGTTAGTGTACCAATCATTAATATAATCTATTATGAATTATACAATTATTTTTAAAGGGAAGTTATTATGAAACAAAAAAAAAAACCATTAAGAAAATAAGAAATTGAATATTGAAAATTGTCCTTAATACATATTATAATGGATTCAAGATATCACACAAAATACCAAAATTACAACAATTATTTACTAACAGATAACTGATAAACTCTAATTTATGTAAGCTGTCTGTACTTAATATATGAAAATAATCGCACTTTTGAAGTCAAACATAGTCTAGAAAATAACGTTTATTGCCAATTGTAACAACTATTTATGGAAAACTAATACAATCAACATTCTTATATATTATACATATTAAGAGTTGTATCATAGAAGTATTGCATTATATATTAAACATAGGTAGTAACTTATTCAAGACTCTTAAAAAATATACATACAACTTTGCTTTTAGAACAAAGTGTATTGATACATATCAAGTAAATATTGGTATTCCGTTAAATATTGTATTCATTAATTATAATTAAGTTTTGTTTTATTAGCTTAATATTGTATTATCTAAGCAATTTTATACACCTACACCATGTTTAAAAATAATTAGACTTAAAAACAAAGTGATTATAGATAATTCAAATAACTTTTTACCCAAATTTTAGTTAACATACATTATGTATAGCATGTAAAATGTATATAAGTTACTGTTATATTTAATTCACTCACAGGCAATTAAATAATAGTATTCAATGCATTATGTCACTCTCACACAATTTACGATTTGTTTCTACTAATTACATTATTTCTAACTACCAAAGTTATTAATTCAAAACCTCTATATATAAAATCATCGAAAAGTATTATACTTAGATAATGGTAGGGTGTGGTAATGTGAGTAAAGTAAAATTTATTTAAATAAGGTTTGGATATTATATAATCACAGTTTCGTAATTTCCTATATAATATAGCTCTCTCTATATCAGCCATGTATGTGATATTAGTTTTCAATATTTAACAAAATCGTATGAATCAGTTGGGTTTCACTTTTCTCCTGTGAGAGACCCACGCGAAGGATGATCTATACAATTTATAGTTGCGTCACAAAAGGTGCTGGTATGACACAAAAACAAACCTTATACGCACCGAAAAACCATATCAGTTAATTTTAGTTTTATCACGTACGGTAAACAGAAAATTTAAATAACCCCGCTCACACAGCATGTGTTTAAACTTTGGTGAACTAACGAGTTACTGGAAGCTCGTCGTCCGTGTTTACTCTGTACCGTAATAACATCTATAATTTAAGTTTAACAGATTATCCACTCCTTATGTATCCCTATGACGTGGTGGCCACCAATGTATATTTACATAACCCATGGGCAAGCATAACACTCAACCCAAAATGTATTGACACCTTCTTAACCCATGACACATATATTATTTTGGACCCAACATTTTAATTTTGTAATAATTAAACGACAATAAATCTTTTTACCACCTAAGGTACCAACTAGATCAAATTTACTGCTTTTACCCACCAGAAGTCCTCCGTAAAGTTGAAAATAGAAGCATTTTTACACCAACGAAAGTGATGATTGTAGGAAAAAACACAGACATCATTGTTTAAATGGTAATACATTCATCGCAATCCTCAGAATCTAAATTTTATAGGATATGTGTAAAATGTACAGTGTACATGTGTAAACAAAATAATATATGAAATAGTTATGTTCTCTACTTTATACCTAATATGCAGTTTTACTATAATTTATGACTTAAATACTAATAACTATAACTTACATGGATGTAAATTAATAGTTGAGTTTTTATGGTTTGTTTAATATTATGTTGATTTGTTGTCATATTTTTAAGTGGAAATAAGAGATCTATAAAATCATTAATATCAGATACTGTAGCCTGTCTGCAGAGAAGACTTGAAAATATTTTAATAATCTTTTAAGTGTGTAAATAAACACCACCTTTATAAAGTTCATTAAATTTTAAAAACTAAGCTCGTTGAATATTTTGCATGAGAAACATGACAAAAAAAGTCAAACATAAACTTGGACTGTTATTTTGTCGAAATGGGTTTCGAGTACGTGCCAAAAGACCTCTTTGAAAGTAAAAATATTTGTCAGACAATAATTGGCATCCAGTTTTTTTCTTTTTGCCACAAGAATAAAACTGAGACCAAAACTTCACCAAAACCTGGTGCGCAAACGAAAAATAACTTTGAAAAAATAACTGTTGTTTCAGTTATAGCTCCATGGAGTTTTGTATTATGTTCCCACCACCGGTGATCTGAACACGTGTTCGTGGTATAGTTATAATATTATAAATATTAAAAATAAGGTAAATACTTGCTGGTAGTTTTCCTAAGAAATCGTAATTTGTTTTTATTGTGTGGCATATTTGCAAAACAGTCAAGTCAACATCCATGTTGAGCAGAATAATTATTAAGTACCTAGTATCGGCAATATTGTCACACATAGAACACGCAGATGTTTTTATTAAATTTTCTCCTATTCGATATTATGGTTTAATAATAAAGAGTTTCATACTAAATTATGTTGTTATTGCATAACTATTTCATTATTAAACTGTACTCGTTAAAGTTTCATTAAAATACAATTGCGTTTTACGTTTTAAATATTATAATATGACGATGGTTGCCATCCTCGTCACAAAGCGTAAGTACGGTGATAATAATACGATATTCAGACGATTTATAGGTCAACGACAACATTAATGTTGATTAATATAAAGTTTAGCGAAATTAATTGTCATTATCGTCGTTCGGTAAATGGTTTACAGGCAAAGTCTGCGTGGGAGTGTGACAAATGAGTGAAAATGTATTGCAGTGGTTGCTGCCGTATAAATGTTTGTTGCCACATCAGGCGACCGCATCGTGTATTCCGTCGCAACGATGCCGACGATCAAATCGTACCGAAACTGAGTTGTTTGTATGTTAAAATGCACACAATTAGAATTTGTTTTAAAGGTGTGTAGAGATAAAATCGCGGCTGTATCAAATAATATGATTTTTTATACTTAAAACATCAGTATATTATTCTAAATAACTGTAAAAATATAACGTCACATTATTTATTTATTTATGAACGAACAAGATAATACCGGTGAGTTTATTACATTTTTTAACTGTGTGATATATATATATTTTTTTTTTGTTACATTCTATTATAATATAATAACTAATAAGTATTATTACATAATACATTTTAAAAATTGTTTCTCTTACATTCTTTATAGGTATGGTCAGTTAATATTAAAAAGAAATAATATTAAATAAACTTCTTATTAACAGTTTAATAAATCGATCTCCGCTATAATCGTTTTATCATTTTTCAAATACCATTATTTATATTATTTTTATTTTTCAGTTAACTCTAATTATTTATATAAGTTACTCATATTCTACCTGAGCCAGCGCACCGATGATCGTTCATATTATTCTCATGTAAACAACAGAATGAGTAGTAACTCCACGGCCGATGACATTTTAAACACCATTTAACAATGGAGATAAAAATATTATGATAGCCAGAAAAAATTTAAAATAAACCGCAGACAAAAATAAACTCGATTGACTTTATTTGTCATATATAGTGCATTATCTGAAAAGCTTTTATGTTTTTAGTGGCTGCATTAATAAATAATTTAACGTCATGTTAATATCATGTTTGAATTTTTTCCCTAAAATTATAAACAATATGAGTGGCAGCAAAAGTGAAATGACTGGAGCAACGAAAATCATAATCAATAAATGGCAAATCCCACATCATAAAAAAAAGAAAGTAATTATTCTAAAATACAAGTAAATTCTATGATGCAAAGATAACGCAGTACTTTTGAAATTGGCCAACTATCAGGCTATCTACAATGATTCTACATGATTGTCCTCTTTTTCATTTACTACAAAAATATTTTCGACGGAAATGTATTAAATTATAACTGATATACTAATAACTGATAACTGTACTTAAATATAATATATTTGGAGCACTCATATCATACGAACATTACAATTTATAAGCAGTTAAATCATTTCATCATTACCTATGATGAATTTTACAGACAACTTATACATTGACAATCTAATGAACAATGCCTAATCAAGTCGTAATAAGAAACAATATATTAAAACATATTTTAATACTTTTACTTAATAAAAAAATGCTTGATGAATACAAGTTATGAATATTTCGTTATTTTTATAATATATATTGTGTTAAAATAATTTGTCTTTATTTTCCTATTGCGTTTTTATCATGTAGTGTAATCGTATATTATTTTCAACAAAATATTTTGTACTAACCACACGATAATAATATTCAATTGAATTATGATTGTTTCAGTTGAAAAATAAAAAATATCATCTGTATAATAAAATTACACTTAAAGCGTATATTTATATATATGCTACAACATAAGTTCAAATTCGATAGTAATATACGTTGGTATCAAACACAATATTACATTTTTATTTTATTTTTCAACTTAAAAATGATTTATAAGTTATCCGTTTTACATTATCAATTATTCATCGTACGATGTATATACATATAAGATAAACCTTAAAAATTACCTTTTACGTCTACACAACCAATTTGTTTCTTCATAACATGAGTGTTAATCTGACACATATAACATCCTTTGTCGGATCTTTGCAGTTGCCGAATCTTGAGTCTCCAATATGTGTTATTATCCACATCTATGTCTATCCTTCGGTTTTCGGTAACCACACGTTCGTGTAAACTTAGTATGGTCTGGTCTTCTGCTTTTAACCAGCCAACCTATAAATATAAAAAAAACATATCATAAACATTGATTAGTTCTATAAAAATAATAATTATAGATAATATAAACATGATAAAATTATATTAGTTCTTAGATTTTGAGCGGAGAGATGAACGTATTAATTTTACAATGATGTGTGTTTTTAATGTTTGTGTTTATTTTCTATTAGGAAAAATTTTTAAAAAGTCGAAAAGTCGAAAACTTGTTGCTGTAAAGTAAATTTTGATTATACTTCGTCAATGAGTAAGCATCTATAGTTTATGTGTTAAACTTTAATTTAATGATAACTGAAAAGTTACTGTTTACAAAAAAATGTTACTGAGCGAAGACGGATTCTTGTCAGTCAGCCTATATTACTACTAAATCTGTTCATTCTTCGTATGTTTTTAGAAATTGTTATTTTATTAATTAATTTTACTATTGTATTATACTCAATGAAGGTAAGTTCTTTTATTTTTTTTTAAAACATTACATTTTTAATTCATTTTTTTTTTATTTATCTTAAACACCGGAAATTATAGCCATTACAATTTTGAAAAAGGATTACTGTTGATTGAGGAATAGGTGTATGTGGGGCGAGAATTCGTCAATAAAAACCCCGGTTTTCACCCATCGTTTATCGGCGATGGCCGATTTTTGACCTCAGAACACTTTAGTGACGTTCCAAACACCGAGTCCCACACCAAGCCTTTCACCTCACCTTTCATTATTTTAATAGTATATAATATTTATTACCATTTATTATTATAAAATTAAATATTTTATTATATTTTCATGCGCCATAACCAAGTTCACGTGTGAGCTATTTCATTGAAACATATAAGAGTTGAGAACCAAAACAAAATAACATTTCCTAATAGTCTTAAGGAATCTATTGTTATAATATTTATTGAAATCAGACTGTTTGACTCCCAAGATTAGCGAGTTTAAACATACAAACTCTTCAGCTTTACATTATTAAGTATAGTATAATGTCAAAAAATACGAATGTAAAAATGTAAGAACATTAATAAGTATTTGTTTTTTTTTACATTTTATTAATTGTCCTTTAATATTAATTATACGTCTAATTTATAGTATATAAGTCAATTAAGTTTAATTTATATTACTTATTTTATTTACTAAACTTGATTAAAATTAGAAATTTTGAGCCATTTATTATTTTTTATAAGTAACAGTGAAATGTACACATTTTTCATAAGAACTACAGAAAATTTTGATAAGTTCAAACATTTTTTTTGAACGATACCACCATCCAATCCCTGACGAAATTGAGCAAAGCTTATTTATTTCCTCGATAATTGTATACGTTTTGTATCTTATATGAATTTGTTTTAAAACATGGTTTTACTGCTATTATTAGGCCAAGTTATTCTGTCAATCCATTAACACCACATTGTTTTCGCTATTGTATTTTCCTGATTATTATTAAAATATAAAGGCTTCAACAACACAAGCTACGATTGTTGGAGTAATTTTTAATTTGCACTATTTTATTCTCATCGCCTTCATCGTTATTACTTATAAGTTTTTTTTATATCTTATTTCATTTGATTATACTATAGTCTTGTAAATGTAATATAATATCACGAATACAACTTACTGTAGTAAATAAATTACTTAAGCCATAATTCGGTATATTTTAACTGGACATTTGTATTGGCAATTTAACTTTTTATTGTTAATTTGTTTTAGAAGTTTACTTCAACTTTATACCTACACACACACATACATATTATACACGTATAAATTTATATACATATTTAACATACCTACTATATAGGCCCACTAAATGAAAGATATCAACACATAACAAATTCAATTCTATAGTTTTTTTTTATTACCTGTTTTATTTCGGTTTTGATATTTTATTGATATACAATTATTGATCCAATTTTGACAATCTTTTTTAAATCATTTCATTTATTTACTATTGTTATTTTTATCAACGTGGACAATTGTATATATGTATGATCAAATACGATGAAAATGGGAGTTTTAAAATGGTCTGAATCTCTTAATTTTTTTTAGTAGGTAATGCACAACTTGCATTTGAGAACATGAATTAATGCTTTAACGCTTACATTTCTAAGTTCTCTATGGTTTATTGAAGTGGTGTATTGTGTTGCTAAAAATGTATACAACATATTTTACATGAAAACATTTAGTTTATTATTATGCAGCGTCTGCGAAATAACAATAAATTACTGTTTTTTTTTTCTTTTTTTTTTTTCATTACCTACTTCATTATTATTTATTTTTAATTAAATAAAGACGTGACAAAATTTGATATCATATTATATTTTACTCTATTTAATTGTTTTGTGGTCGCCTTATGAATTGTAAAATATCTGTAGGTAGGTATATTGTAAAAACGTATGAATCAAGAGCCGTATACCAAACATGTAAACGACACTAATAATGTTAAAACAATTATTTAAATCATTAAAGTTTAAGTCAATACCTTACTCCAGATGTTAGTAGCGTCGATGTAAAAACGAAAATTATAGTTAAAGCAAGCACTCGCTGATCAGTTGGTATACCGAAGTAGGTATTATTTAATAATTAATTATGATAGTTTAATACAGAGGTATAAGTAGTTTATCAAATAGGTACACTTGAATTTGATCATAATATGGTAGGCATTTATATTATTATGATAACTGGTCATCACCGAAGGATGGTCTAACGTGGTCGGTGGATATGCTGGTGGATATAAAATATAAACCCAACTTGGGTTAAACAACGTATTTACACACAATATTTACCTACTGCGCACATGCAATGAAGAAAGTGTCGCGAACACCGTAAAGAGGAAAGTGCAGTCTTGGGTATATATTTAGTTTGGGCGCTCAAGTATGGGGCACATTTCAAAAAGCACTTCTTATCCAAAAGATTTTAATTTTATCAATTAAGAAGCAATCATTGTCATCTTTCTGTATCACTATAAACACATATTTAACCGCAAGAATTTTCCGAGGAATACTATACATGGGATTATTTCCTTTGTCACACAAGTTTTGCCTAAACTCTATAATCACTGTGTATGTTTGATCATATATTGAATGTTTTGAATGAGTATAGTGCCGTCGACCACAATCTCACGTCCGTCACTTTCCGATAATTGTTTTTTGTGTTTATATAAAAATAATAATATGTTTCATGCCATGGTATAATGCAGTGGCTGACCCCAATCACCTACTATTACTAAAGCTAAGCTGCGCCCGGCGTCTCTAGCGTCTAGATGGGTGACCTACCAGGCGTTTTAGCGAAGAAACGTGGTACTTATATGCAATAACACCACTTATTACAACAAAATTAACTCAAAAAAGTCTACTAAAAATATATAAAAATAACCGCTTACCGTACCACCCCAATGGCAAATATTTTCGAGGGTTAAACCTAATAAGAAAAATAAATATGTTTGTCACTAAGCTACTTATATAATATCATAGATAAAGTCGAGATGGTAAATAATTATGTAATAAATTAAATTGTGTATTTTTTCTTCAAAGATCAAAACTGAAGTGTTATGGTGTTAATGGTGTTTTTCTCTGATTGCGATTTTCCATATTTTCCATATTTCTATTAATTTTAAATTTAATAAATTGTTGAGGTCATTATAGTATAAATGTGAAATACAACACTGAATTACAGTTACAAACAATTATTAGTGTTTTGGTACTTTAGTACACTAATTAGAATACTGAACTGCGAGAGCAATGTTAATGTTGACAGTAATATATTTAACGAACGCACGTGCCTACTGATATAGTGATATCAATTGAAATAGTATTCACCAATGAATCATGTATAGAGAAATAATAGCTTAAATTAATTAAAATTAAATCATAAATTGTATTTATCAATATAATCGTGGAAGTGGTGGGGAGGAAGTGGTATCACATTCGAATGACATTCAAGTGGCTAATACGATGTAAAGTATTGCTTTTGTAATTAATAGAATACTCTATATGTTAATGCAGTTTAAAATGTATAATTAGGTACATAAAATACTTAAAATGTTATAGATGAATAGATCACTCATACAGTATTGATATAAAAAAGTTATTTAAATTTCCTTCATATTTAATTTCCAGCAGTTGGGAAAAATGTGTCAAGCTTATCACTGACAAATAGTATGTAGGTTCAACTTATTTTTAAACTAGCACCCTGAAAACCAACTTGCATTATTACATAATTATAGTGCCTTGAAAAACGAAAAGCAATTTAGAAAAATATCAAATGCTCTTACACTTAATGTATTTTACATCTTACAATATGTAAGTTCAATTTTTTTCACATACAGTTAGTATCCATTCATTCAGTCATGTAAATTATATAAACTTTATATACAGTTTTTGTAATTATTATATACATTAACTAAACATAAATAATAATAATTGAAAGTGTCTACATAATACATTTACATATTATATGTATATTATGTGTATGATGACAAGTCAAACAATGACAGAGGATATGTATTGACTATTGAATTCTATAATAATATAACATCAAAGTTTTATTTTATTGTTGATGCAAAAAAAAATAATATGTTAATAGTTTAATTGTGTTATTAGGGGGACAGTGTTGTATTCGTCTGTTCAATAGTATAGAATTCAACGGGAATAAACTGTTACACTGTCACGTCACATTTATTCTTTCGAATTGAGAAATTGTATATTACATTTTAGGAAAATTAACCAAATGATTGTAAAAAAAATATTGATCATTATTGTCGAATAAAGTACGAAATGTATGAAATAAAAATTATTAATTAGGCTTTAACATTAATACAAACTGTGAATATATAAACGTATATTTGTATATACTAATCATGTACATATATAAACGTATAATATAATGAACTAAACGAAATCGTAGTAGACAATTTAATATAACTCTACTACATAAAATTGATATTGATAATAATGTAGCATAATATTAACTAAACTACTACATGGAACATATTCAAAAAAAAAAAAATCATGAT